GAAGAAAGTGATCTATGAGTGTATTTCTACAACATTGAAGGATTCATTTCAAGGCAAGGGAACAAATCTCTTAGTCACGCTTATAACCCTAAAATACGTTTGTTTGTATTATGCAAATCCTTTATAGTTATAGTTTTTATCTCTAAGTGAAGTAATCGAGTGAGTATCTCTATCCTACTCTTTTCAACTACTTTTATTATGAAATCCACTTGTTGTTGGATCTCCCACAATAACAAGTTGTTATCTTTTTCTAAGTTGATCATTCAAAAAATCATATTTTTATGAAGGTTAACACATAGTAAAACAAGGCACTAAACAACACACCACTTAACATAAAAACAACATAATATTAATTTCTCATTGCCCAACAAACAAAAGGTTTCACTCATAATGAACTGAGTAAAAACTACAAATTATGGTTCTTAAAGGAAACATTCTTAAACAAATAATGAAAAATAAATGTAAACCTAAAAATAACTTGAAGACTTCTTGAGATGGATAATCAACAATTGAAGAATTTAGTCGTGCCAAGACTTAGCAGCTGGTACTGGAAATGGTGAGAAGAAGAAACTCTTTTTTCTCCACTACCGCCACACTATTTCTCTTATGTATTTCTCTTTAAGATGCTGAACTCCCTTTTTTCATTCTTCAACAAGGTCTATTTATAAGCCTCCACTAGGGTTCCTTGTGATGTCTTGGATCACGGGCCACAAGTGAGGAAATCACATCAAGCCTAACACATGATTCAATGCCTTCTTGTCATTCCTTCTCATTTGTATGCAAGGAACCAGGTACATGAGACAATTATGGGGGACAAGGTGTGTTGTGGCATTCTGCCACAGCTGGGGTGCAAGCAACATTGTCTTTTCTTGCAGAGCATGCTTTGTAGTGGGTGTACATGTACCCTCTTTTGTCTTCAAGCGCCTATTGATCTTATCCACTTGATTCAAAGTATTTTTCTTCAATGCACATCAAAGATTCCATTCAAGGCATCTTCCCTTCCAAGTTTTCCCTAGGAACCTAAATGATTGCTCCATTTTCTTCCATAGATGAGCTCAACTCCTTGCTTCAGCTTACAATCCCAAGAATTGTCCACTACAGTCTTATCTCAGCTAGACATAACTAACCTTGAATTAAGCAATAAATACATCAAAACAACAAAAGGGAGCACCTATTATGCTCCAAGAAAATTGCTATAAAAATGGCTAAAATTAAATAAATCAACTACCAAACATCAAATCAACTAACAATAAAGAAAGACGGCTATATAATAACTCACAAAATGTGGGTTATCAATTTTATTACTTAGTTTATTTTCTTGCTTATTGCATTTTTTCCTTCTATAATCATTTCATTTTTTAATGAATAATTGTTTTTGGTTTATTATTAAATCCATCATTCTTTGCTTGATTATTTGTGATCTATGTGCTTAAATATGTTTTATACCTTTTTATATATTTGTTTACTTTTCCCGCCTTTTTGATAATGCCAAGGGGGAGAAACATACTATTAAAGGGTGTAGGCTATACTATTATATTTGTGAGGGGCAGGTTAACCACTCCAATATTTTTACCCATGTCTTTATATTTTTCACCTCCCTAAGAGATGAGTTGTCATCATAAAAAAAAGAAAAAGAGAACATGGACATATGTGCTTGCATGTATAATCATCTACAACCGTTGGATGTTCATGATAGTTTTGATGATGACAACACTATATGTCAAATGACAAGATGTGAAGTCTCCATCTGTTAACTAAGAAGAAGTAATGATCAAAGATGTTCTGAAAGATCAATATGTTTTTTTTTGTAATATCAATATGTAAGGAAAAATTAAAGAAGAAGAAAACCTAAGGTCAAACGATGTTCAATGAAGTCCCTGATGATCTCTGGTCCAACAACCCCTGATGATGGCGTCTATCAAAAAAAGTTATATCAAGCCTCATCAGTTAGCATAGTCAAGCCCCAAATGAAGTTCCAAATCAAAAATAAATCAAACAAGGAATCTTGAAGCTTCAAATATTGTGAAAGAGAGGAAGTGTGAAAGCTCACATGGTCATTTTTCTGATTGATCAATGTATTGTAAAGGTATAAGATTAATTCTCAAATCACTAAGGCATCTCACAAACACACTTAAAATGATTTAAACCTCTATCTTTTGCTAAAACACCTAAAATCTTTGGAAGAACTATCAAGATTTATCTAGAATTGACAAAGAGTGTTACTAAGCATTAGGGAAACATTTGTACACTACCTAATTGATTAGGGACTTAATCCAATCAATATTGTTATATTTATTACATGAACCATTCTAGAGTTTCTTAATTGATTATAAATACTGCTAAACGATTAAATCACATAACTGTTCTAGAGTTCCCATTTTGAAATTAGGGTTGTCGTCTTTTTGAAACTCGTAATCAATTAGACTTAAGGGTTTAATCGATTAGATCATCAAAAGTCCCATAGATATTTTTCCTTTTTGAGCCATTTGTTATCTTAAAAATAAAGGACTTCTCCTCATTTCAAAACACCTCAGAAAATATATTTCAATAATACATTCTCACTTTCTACTATCTCTCTACTTCATCTTTTTCTATTTCTTCACGAAGTTGCATGTGTTTTGAGAGTGAAAAATATATATGAGTTTATCTTGTTGTTATGGTGTTGTGAGATTATTATAATTTACACAAGAGAGTGTTATCTCTTATGTAATATCTTTAAAAGAAGTTATTGTTTGGTTCGCGAGCTTTATCAGTCAAAAACTCTTGTTTGATTCTTGAGATTAACTAGTAAAAATCTCAGTTTGGTTTGAGAGCTCGGCCTGTGAAATACTCTTAGTTGGTAGTGAGATTAGTCAATTAAAATATTATGTTTGATTCATGAGCTCAGCTTGGTGTAAAAGCTCTATTCGATTATGAGATTAGCCTAATATAAAATTTTGTGTTTGATTTGGAGTTTATCCAGTGTAAAATCTTGTGTTTAACTACTTGATTGTAAGAAAGTTTATGGGCATACTCGTTAAAAACTCAAATTTCATATAATGGAAACTCTCATGAAGACATTCTTCAAGTGGTTAGACTAAATTTGTATAAATCGCTAGTGTTTTCTCTCTCCCCTAATCTCTTTATATTCCTGCTATTTATTTTCTTCCGCTAGTTTTCTATCCCTTTATCTCTCTCATTTTCCTTCTTTTACTTACTCTATTGCTTTATCTCTATTTGATTTATAAAGTTAATTAAAACCTTTTTTATATCAAATATTTTATAATTAGACTTGGTTGAAGTCATTTTTCCAACAGTCGCTTGGTTGGAGTAGAACAACTCGTCCATAACAACTCCCATTTCTGCTAAGGTCTCATGGTTGTTGTTGTTGTTATCGGTGCTGTTAACTATTGTAAAGCCTCATCATGTCACCGTGTCGAAGAGGATGACTGAGACAATTGAAAATCAGATTTGAATGTGACCTATGTTAGTTTTACTATGACACCACGGTGGACGTCAACTATACTTGTGAAATACAATGAGAATGATGACCCTACTAACACGTGTGACGAAAGAGAGTGTTTATACTTTTATTACATGAAATTAATGAGTGATGTCTTGGAGTTGGAATATTAATAGATAGCTTCTTTGGACAGGTAGTAGAGAGAAAATAATTTCTCCTACTTTCCTAACGTATAGTGAGAAAACGATTTCTCCTACTTTCCTAACGAGTACATGGGAGAACCGGTTCTTCCTCCTAAATTAGAAAGACAATTTCCTTCATTTGTGATATGGTCTTCGCTTGAGCAACTTATCAGCCACGTGTAGTAAGATGGATTAGGTGATAATCACGAGTTCGAAGTTCTTTCCATGTCTTTGGGCTTCTTTTTTTAAGACCTAATAAAGTTATCACACTCCAAAAAAAGGGAGATTGGGAGATTTAAATTAAATATATATTCGGTTCAAAATAAGAAAGGAGAAGGAAAGTAAAGTATTTTATTTACAAATATGTTTGATTCACGTGGAGAGGGGAGGTATTTTAAAATTAATTTGCTTTTATATCCTTGTAATTTTATCATAAGACTCATGATATTTACTGTTTATAATTCAAAAATACAAATTCAATAATGAAATATAAAAATTCAATCAAATAATATTATAAAAGATTTTATAATAACGTAATGATTATATATATATATATATATATATATATATATATATATATATATATATATATATATATATATATATATATATATATATATATATATATATATATATATAATTTTAAAAATATTATCGAATATAATAAAATATAACAAAAATCATTATAAACAAAAACATTACGATAATTAAAAAGTAACATTATAATATATTAAATAAAAAATAAAAAAACTTAAACACATATAATGATAATAAGATGAAGATATAAAATTACAAAAATATAAAAGAAAGATAAAATTTATTCAAAATAGAAATTTTCGCATTTTAATATATTAAATTTATATTTAAATAAATAAATAAAGATAAATATGTAAATATAATTATAATTAAAATAAAATAAAATGTATCTCCGCCCCTCCCCTCCCCTTCAAATCCCCCAAATCAGAAGAGACAAAAAGTAATTGAGAGGAATTTTGGTCCTCTCCATCTCCTTCCCCCTCTTAAAATGTGAACTAATAAGACAGAATCTTACTTCAGGGAATTCCAATTAAAACTTCGCCCTTAATAACAACATTAACAATATCTCTAGTCAGTTTCCAGCAAATTCGGCCATTTAAAATGAAATTTTAACTCCCAAATCAAATGGGTTTTACAAGAACAAGGCAGATAATCCAACCAAGAAGAGTACAGAGAATAAATAACCTTTGTAAAGAAATTTCAATCCTTTGATTATTGAATGCTCTAGGCGCAACTATCTTGCAAGTATAAAAAAAGTAGATTGCATTAAAAATCAAAAGACAGTAGCAGTAGTTAAAATCTGTACATTAATGAATGAATACAGAAGCAGATTGTTGAGTTCAAAAGACAACGAGAAGGGAGAACAGAGAATAAATAAGAAAACAAACATATGCAAGCAACCCAGGATGTTGGTCCCACCTAGCCACGTGTACCAATAACATAGTACAAGCCTTGGTAGACCATGCAACAAAAAACAGAGCAATAACAGAGATATATAACCCACCCTGAGGTAGAAACAAGGAAATTGCAGACAAAATAACCATAGGCAACATGCAATAACCAATTAAACTAACACACCGATAAAGATCCAACGTTCCATTACGTCCGGCGAGCATGTTAGAAACAACATAAAGAAACAAGGCCGAAACCGTTACCCAACCGAGAATAATCCCGAAGTGAATCTTCCCGGCCAAGAGCTGGAAAAGACCAAACGCCATAATCAGCATTACCGGTCCCGATAGGTCGGCGTCTTCGTGGAGATCTAGGTTTCTGATGCGGAGTGGGTTGAGGAGCGAGGTGGTTTTGTTCCAGATCTGTTTAGTGTTGATTCCTAGTTCTTCTAAGAGAGGTGGCTCTTGGTCGAAATTGAAATTGGCGGTGGGAGGTGGTGGGAAGGAGGATGTTGTCGCGGAGGACATGAAGGGGATTGGGTTTGTGGCTGGACGGGGCTGGAATGGTGCTGTTGGACGATTTTGGTTTGTGGATGTGGGGAAAATTACTGGAGGCACGTTGAATTGCTTCTTCGACATTGGATTTGTTGAATCTGTTGAAACTGGAAATACAAATAGTATAAACTCAAGTGATTCAAAACTAGATCAATGAATCTGTAGAGTATGTGAACACAACAAGATCGCCCAATATTGTTCACTTTCTGTGCTTTGCTTTCTCTTAAACGTGGCGAATGCTATTTCTGCCACTTTTGCTTCTACAGAAAAATATGCCATAAACAAATTTTATTTAGAATAGAAAATGAATGATGCAGTTATGATGTAAAATTCAAATATAGTTATGTTAAAAAACAAGCTAAAATGATTTTTTTTTGTAAGTAATTATATTTGTTTTTATTGGACTCCTTAAATTTTTATAATTGTTTTAAATTAGTTCTTATATGTAACAACAAACAAATAATTCTAATATGCTTACATTTTTTTTTTTCAAAATTATTTATGGGTTGAATCGATTTTAAACTAAAATAATATTGGATACATGAAAATTTTGATAGAGTTGTAAAAAATGAGCTACCCGATTCAAATAGGCCAGTTCTAACACACCTTGGATATTTTTAAGTTAAAGCTCTTTTGTAATATGAATTTAATTATTATTTGAGATTGGTTTTGTGTGAGTTTTGAGCTTACCGATCTTAAATGAATTTTCTTTTCAAATTTTTTTTATATAAAAATCTCATTATATTTATTATAAATATATATAAAAAATATATTGTTTTAAGCATAATACTATTTTAAGTATTATATTATTTTCTTAAAGTATATTTTTAAATATAATACATATTTAAATTGTATATAATAATAATAAAATATTTAAAATAAGAGAAATTAATAGAAGATGTAAAAATTGTGAATTAAACACAAAACAATTGAATATTAACTTGATTATATTAATGTATAATATTTATAAATAAAAAAAGATAAGATATAATAGAGATAAAATTTAGTGAAGTGAGAAAAATTAATGTGTTGTTTTGAAGTGAGACAACATAAGCATTAATATAACTTTTTTAAATTTATACTTATGCATCCACATACCATACATCATATCATGATAGGTTTTTTCCACAGGTCTCTCATCTGCTTACTGTTTATTTCAGTAGAGATGGCTCTAGAACAGACTATCAAGGACATTCAGACTCAGAATGCTCAACTTCAGGAAATGTTCTTGAACCTGTTCAAGGGACAAGAAGAGGTGAAAGCTCTCCTCACTAGGGGCATGATCATGGGGAATCCTGAGGACAACAAGGATGATCAGTTGGAACGGCTACAAACTGAAATGGCAGCAATGAAAGTCTAGATGATGAGACAACTGGTGGACCAGATGGTTCGTATCCAAAACTTGGCTCAAGGACAGGAAGAGCTGAGAGCCCTTGTCAACAGGCTTCATCAAGACAGATGCAACCAAATGGGGAAAACAGCCAGAATTGGAGATCGAATCATTAATCAGCCTCCAATGAAGAGTGGACCTTTCCAAATTGCTTCCACGTCACGGGCCTAACAATGACCTCATCAACATCAACGGGAAAATCAGCAAAGGCAAAACAAACCCGAGAGACAATTTACTAACATCAACATGCCATTGTCTCAAGCATTATAACACATGTTGAGGATGAATCTGATTATGTTGATAGGACCTCATCCAAACCCCAAAACTTCTTCTCCTAACTACAATCCTGATGCCATGTGTGCCTATCATTCTAACAGTCCTGGACATGATACAAATGATTGTTGGGCGCTGAAGTACAAGATTCAAAACTTGATCGACGGAGGAACGTTGGAGTTCACAAAAGATGGTCAACTGGATCTTTTCTATCACCCCTCAAGGGCATCCACATGAAGCGACGGTCTGGGCGAGGAAATTTTCTGTTTATTCGAATTTTCAGTTGTATTTTCTTTGTTTGCTTAAACACTTATCTATATGTGAGACTTTGGTTACTTTCATTAATGCATTGCATATGTTTGTCTTGAATTAATCCATTCTTTTTCATTATATTTAAACCATGGTTTTTACTCCTTTTATGATATTCAACTCTTGTTTCAAAAAGTTGCAAGCCTTTAGAGGGAGGATGACAAAAACAATGCTATAATCTCATATAGTATGCTTTTGGACAGACCTTGATGACGATGTACATGAGTTCTTTCAAATCCTAAACACTGGAGTTATAAGGAAGATAGTCCCTAGTCAACCCCTTCGAGCCAAAGAAGTAGAAGTTTTCCTTTTTACACAAATTGAAACCTTTAATCAAAACCTGGGGAAGGGTAGTCTCTCAGTTAATTCAAATGCATGCTCAAGTCGCAAACTTTCATTTCATAATACAGCGAATGACATCAAAAACATTCCTATGGAATCAAAATACAGTGATTGTTGTACCCCAAAATTTTCCCTCCCATATTCATCAACATTTCTCATCGCAAGGCTCTTGGAACTCAAGATCAAGCTAGGGTTTACTCTGCTCAAGACACCTCCTTGCACTGTTGACCTAAATTAGGGTTTGAGTTTGCACAGGGATTTTTTGACCTACAATGCCCAAAGTGACTTTCATACTTCATGTTGGACTCACAAGTTTGTCCATACCAAGTTTCAAGCCTTGATTCAAATTTTTGCCCAATCAAGCCCAATCAATTGGACAGTTGACCTAGAAATCAGTTGTATTGGGGAAAAAGTCAACTGTGGCCAATTGACAGTCAAACTTCATGAAATTTGACCCACATCAACATTATGAACTCATATGAACCATTTGATCATGTTTGGATCACAATTCCACAAGAAATTTGATCAGATCACCAAAAGGACAAAATGGTCATTTTTAGGGTTTTGACTGCACAAAGGCAATTTTTGACTGTTTGACCTAGCCAATGGCAAATCAAGCTCACATATGGACTCAAGGACTCAATGAAATTGTCTTTACCCATTCAACAAGTTCAAAAGATCGCAAATGCATAGGATTGACAAATGAATATTTCAGTCAACTGATCAAAATTTGACTGTACACTGAAAAGTCAAACTTTGACTTTTTGGTCAAGATCAAGTTCCAATAGTTATTTTTCATCAATACATGTCAAATTATGAAACTTGTTCATCAAGAAACCCAAAAATGCAAATTAGGGTTTAAAATGAAAAATTTTCATAACTTAGAAATTTTCTAAGTTATGAAATTTTCTTATTTTTTCCTAACTTTGTCCCATTTTTTCACCAAGATGCAAATGGATTCAAACAAAACTTACAACATGAAAGTTGTAGTCCATCACAAAGTCTATAACTTTTATTCAAAAAGTTTTCTCAAAATAAGCTTGTATCTCAAGTTATGATTTTTGGAACAAGGGTACCTATAACTTTTAACTTAGAGAAAATTTGCCCTAATCTAGGTAGGATTTTGACCCATCTTCTTGGCCACTTTTCACATAGTTCCACTTGTAGTTTCAAGTTTCATTTCAAATATGTATTATAGTACATGTTCCAAGCTTTCCAAATTGTCCAAGAACTCCTCAAACACCCTTGTGGTTAGAGAGAATCGAATGCTTGAAGTTGGCAAAAACTCACTTTTGTCCATGACCAATACATGTTCACACAAACTTGCATTTTCAATTCAGCATGCTTGGTACTAGCTTGCAGGCCTAAAAACCAGTTTATACTCCATAATTTAATGCATAACCATTGAGTTAAGATGTTATCTTGGTCAGTTGGACATTGCATACAAGATTAATCCTTATTTGGAAAAAGGTAAAATGTCATTTTTGTAAAGTTGCACTTTATGTCAAACCAAAATCCTTGAGGTATGGGGCCATATCTCTGAAGCAAGATTCAATCTACCAATTCCAAGAACCAAGAGAAAAGTATGCAGCATGATATAGGACTTGTACAGGCTTGCATTGAGAACACACACACTCTTGCTTGAAAAAGAAGAAAAGTTGCAAATCATATGCCATCACACACATCTGTTAAGACCAACTTACACGAACATTGTAGACAAGTTTGATACCTCCCAACAAGCCAAAAACACGACCCTTCTGCCTCCAAAACCCCCTTGTACACAAAATCCCTATTTTGCTGCAAAACAGGGCAAGCTCTACAAACTTCAAGCCATAACCAAATTCCATCGTGCGTTTTGTCAAAAGATACTTCAAACACCTTCCAACCAACATATCTAAGCTATCCAGATCATCCATTGCTAGCTGTAACACCTCTAACACACATTGCCATTTTTTTTAAAGCTTTGCAGGTTGAGTTCTCTGGCACGATTCAAGCTATTTCAAAACAAGCCAATTATTGGAAAAGCTTCCTTGGACCTCAAGCAAGCTCAAAAGAAGCTCAAACACCATTGAAGGTTGCCACATTGTCCAACTCGAACTCAACTGAAACAGGTATTTCATGGACTTCTATCTCTCTAATTAGGAATAGTTAGGCTTAGGTTTGTGAATGAAATATGTTGTACTCATAGCCCTGAAGCCATACATATGCTTAGTTTTCATTTACATTAACCGTGCTAGGAGAATTTCATCCATGAACTTTATGAAAAAACTAGGTTAGAAATTAGGGCCAGAGAAATTCTCTCTGGTCTTTGAGAGTTAGTCCAAGTTTTTTATATGGTTGGATTCGTTGTTTAATGCTCTACAATGTTCATGTTATGAGTTTTGTCAAAAAATCAAAGAATCAGGAGATGGCATTTGTGTACAGAAGCGCGCGTGTTTTGATTCAAAGGAAGAAGATGAAGTCTGACTGGGCTGGGCCTGGTTGTTCTTTGCTTTTGACACCCCGCTTTTCTGTTTACACCCCCTGGCCCATTTATTTGAATATTTGTCATTTTGATATTTTTATTTTTTATTCTGACTTTATTATTTTTTGTCTAAATATAAAAAATGCCAAAAAATTATTTTCTATATTTTTCATATTTATTTGATATTTATTTTTATATTACTAGTATAAATATGTAAATAGCTTATTTTTCTTTTATTAAAACTCAAAAAATAATATAAAAAATATACTTATCTTCATTTATTATTTTTATTTACACTTGAAAATA